TCCTCGTCCTGCCAGCTCGTTCGTCTACGGATTCAAACTTTCTTTCTTAAATGTTTATTTTCAGGAGCTGTGTTGGATCCTTCTGTTTACAGTGTGCTTTGTTATTCAAGCGAACGCGGGAGCAGAACGGTGAGCTGACCACATCGAGAGTGCGGAGGACAGAGCTGGAACATCTATCTCAGAGTGACAGGAAACACATCGAGGCCTCACCAGAGGGAACACAAACTATCATCTCTGTAAGTCATGCATCTGCAAATGTTGTGTTAATGCAGAAATTTGTTCATGGCTTCATGTAATGAAATAACAAACAATAGTAGGAGAGGGACCAAAATGATCTAGTTATCCAGGCTCAGCTGTGAAACACATCTTCACACTCCAATATGAAAATAATTTTTCTGTTTAAATGCATTAAATGACATCCTATCATCAGCTAGCATTACTAACATTTTCAGCTCAGTATGATTGGACAATGCTGGGCCAGGTTAGCCTTCTGAGGGAACTTAAATTCTTGTTAGCGCCCCAGAATTTTTCTTTGCATTGATCATAGACACACGATGAATGCATAGTGATCAGTACTTATAGGTAGTTTCTTTAGGATTACCTTCACAGCACTTATTTAACTGACCAAAACTCAGGACAGTGTGAAAGAGAATTGTAGATTTGCACATGTTGGGAGCCAGATACTTATAAGACGTATATTTGGAGGTGTAAAGATGAGGCTTTGTCCCCACTGTCAAGCATTATGCTGTGTTTGGCTGCCAGTAGTACAGGTATAATGCACAAAGTAAATGAAATAATAAAGGACAAGGAGTACCTCAAAATTTTTCAACTTCACCACAAATTGCAGCTACATGGTTGAAACTTGACACAACTGGGTTTTCTAACAGACAGTGATCCCAAACTCACATCAGAACTGGTTAAAGGCTAAAGTTAAGCTTCTGCAATGACTTTCCCCAAGCCCCGACCACAACCTCAAATATCCAGCCAAATTATTTCAGACGCTTGTTGATGGCTACCAAAAGCATCTGGTGGAACTTGCTAAAGGTTACTAACTGACTATTAGTGGGGTTGTATGGATATGTATTTTTGACCATGTGTATTAAGATAAAATCCCCCAAAATGTACACTTGTGTACCCAATTCTTGTTGTTTTTTTAATCATTTTGACATGTATGCAGTACAACCATTGCACCCTGTAAAAAGTGCAGTTTAAAGAAATCACTTAAAGATGATGTGCAGTATACAGTTTAGCCAAACTCATTTAGATTTCAGACTAAGAGAAGCAGGATGTTAAAAGCTGAGCACAGGAAGTTGGGGATTAAGCTCACTGCACAGTTCCTGGACTTCTGCTATAAAAAGCAAAGCAGTGTTTGCAGGATTAGGTATTTTGCTTGCCAGAGGAGCTGACGTGTCTGGGATACTGAGCTGTTCAGTCACATGAGGAATCAAACACAGCAGCCTAGGGCCCTGACTCAGCTTTCTGCTTGGTTAGCTTTGTCTTTTATTTATCCTAAAATTCCTGTGGCACAAAATCGACAGAGAACATGACAGAGAACCAAAAGCATATACTGCATTGGAGATAACAACACGAATGAATGTTTTTACTGTGCAGAGCAGAGACATGCAGAAAGGTGAAGCAGAGAAGACGGATGCTGACCATGGGAGACCAATTACTAAAGCGCACCATAGGTCCAGTATCTCTCTGGAAAGCCTCTACAGCCTCAACAGCAGACAAAGCTCCTCAAGTAAGCACCTCTGGGCACAGACCCAAGCACATCCTTCACACCACAACCCAATGAATTATGCAATCCTTGTGTTCTGAGTATCCTATTACCCCTCTTCTGATGCACTAATTTGTCCAGCTACACTGACCGCTGACATATCAAAAACAGAATCCCCATCTCACACTTGTGCTGCTGTGTTACTGAAATGTGGATGAGCATTTTAATTCTGCTGCCCTTTGCTGAAGCCTCTTGTGTTCTGTTTCCCAGGTGGAGTCACCAGTGGGTCAGACTATTCCAGTAACAGAAACAGTCTGAAGCTAGAGGACGATCTGCTATGCACAAGACAGTTTTGTGGCAGAGCCAGAGTCCATACAGAGTATGTGCCAAGTCCATACGACACCGAGTCCCTCAAACTCAAGGTAAACAAGTACGGCAAGCAAATGGAAAATTATTATATTACTATATTATCTTTGATATTTGTGGATTTAAGTTATGACTGATATTCAGATGCTAATTTTAGGGCAATCTCTGCTGGATTTTGAGCCATGCTGGCTACAGTTTTATCACCTTGGTCCTTTCTGAAATATCTCAACAATGATTGGCCCAAAACGTGTACTTGCTCCCTTATCTTTGAGATTAAAGTTTGAATCTTTATCAATGTTCTATACGTACTATTATCTATTAAGAAATGTAATAAAATGGAATGATTTTACTCAGGTGGGAGATGTCATTGACATCATAACCAAGCCTTCCATGGGAATATGGACAGGCATGCTGAATGGGAGAATAGGAAATTTCAAGTTCATCTACGTGGACATACTGAGGAAGGAGAACTTGGAAACACAAATCCACAGAGTGAGACACAAATCAACTGTCCAGGAAGTGCTGAAGCGTCTCAGTCTTGAGGTATTTTGCTCTTATTTGAACTGATTTCAGTGGTAACCCAACCATCCTTCCAACAGGAAGCTGTTCCTTCAGCTTTCTTCTGAACGGTACCATTTTTTCTTTTTCAGGAATATTACACATGTTTGCAGCTGGGTGGTTACCAAACTGTAGACGACTTGATGAGGCTGAGGGAGAATCATCTGATGGAGCTGAATGTGACTGATCCAGAGCACAGGCAGCGTCTGCTCGCTGCTGTCAACTCCCTGCAGCAACTGCGCTGTGAGTAATGAACCCCAGACAAGGTCATTGAAGGACAGATGTGCTATAATAGAACCACAAAGAAATATGCTGGGATGTTTGGATCCAGAAAGGAAAAAGAACAAGACACATTAATCCTTTCCTAGACGAGACTGGAAAGGTACCAAAGTTAAAGAGATTAAAGACAACAGGTCTTTGAGTAGTAGCTCTAAGAATAAAGGAGACAGATAACCTGTTCGATCCTAATTCACAGAAATAAAAGTGACTGAATGATTACCGACTGCTCGTCAATTGAGCTCTGCAGCAGTACGTGCGACCAAGCAGTCTTCTCTACTTTGCAGCTGATTGTCAGTTGGAGAATGAAGCTGATCAAAAGGCCGAGAGCTCCACTGAGAACATGAAGGCAGATGTGAGTAACTGCCCCAGAGACTCTGGCTGCCCCATGCCATCTGACAGCCCTGACAGCATCACAGAGGAAGCAGACCTTCATTTTCTCTCTGACCATGCTTTACCAGCCAACGTGACGGCTTAATAAGAGAAAACTATTCCTTGACATGCTTGTTTTATTTCTTCTGTTGCTGTTGACTTGTTTTTCCCACAGCTGTGAAACATGGAAACATACAATAAAAGGCACACTCTGACCCAATACCTCCGCTATGTGTTGGCTTGATTTCTAAAGTAAGACATTTTATAAACCATTTAATTTTTTTCACCATAGTTACCATTTTTATGGAAATGACTCAGAATCAGAGAGAAACACTCCATGAAATGTGCAAATGGCAAAAACGAACAAACTGAGCGGCTATTGGTCTGTGAATCAAGGTAAACAACTATGTGAAATTTAGCCTGGTAAGTGTATATATGCATGTAAAATGTGCCTTCCTCCTATACTGGTAACTCTAACCAGTAGGCAGCAGAAAACAAATCCAGAATTATCACACGATATTAACGTAATGACTATCATATAAAAATAAAAGTTGCAGTCAAGCACCCAAAACACACAAATGGAAGTTTGTTGTCTCACTCAAGAAGAATCCACAAAACATCATTTTTCAAGAATTTCTCACTTTTATTGAACAGTCAACTCACCTGTAGCTAAATCTGTAGTTGTCACTTCAACATTTTGCCCTATTATAAAACTAAGATGAAAATATTCTAACAAAAAGGCAGCCATGTGAAAGTTATAATACTTGATATGTCTAGAAAAAAAACCAATCATGGCGTAACAGAAGAGGCAGAGGCAGATTGGATTAGCAAGGAAACAGGTTTCCACATGTGCCTTATTCTGTCTGTCACACAAGGATAAAATATACAATTTCAAATAAGTCCGAGTCCTCTCAGAGGGGGAATTACAATAGAAACATGTAAAGACCACTCTCCAGTCTGTGTCCTCTTATAAAACCAGAGTAAGGTAAGTGTCGTGGAACAATCCAGCTGTACAGCTTTATAAGTATGAGTGAGACTAATCAGGGATTTTTTTTTCAAATCTTTTCTTTTTTTTAAAAACCAATTTTGACATAACTGGCTAAAATTAAACAAATAAATAAAATAAGAATTCCTTTCTAACTCCATACCATAATGTTTTGAGAGCTTTTGCCCATTAATTAACCCCACAGGCACATATCAGCCAATGATAAACTCGTGTTCTATTTTAACTTTTGTAAACAGATTTTAAATACCGTATTTTCTGCACAATAAGGCGCACTTAAAATCCTTTAATTTTCACAAAAATCCACAGTGATCTGGTGCACCTTATGTATGAATTCTGGTTGTGCTTACTAACCCTCGAACTGATTTTATGTGCTGCACAGCGCTCAAAAATCTGTCAAAAAATGTTTTAGTACGACTTTGCTAAGCTACGAAGCCGCACCGCTTGATGGATTGTTGGAACATTACGGCTACCGTAGTCAGGAGCCTCGCGGAGTAATCTGGGTCCTAAACTCCGTCCATTTCAGGTCTCAAAGTCAAATGATCACTGAGAGTTAAAAACTGTCTAAATTCTTTCATCTTTAATAAAATGATCAGCGTTGCTGCTTTACCAGGTGTAACAATTAAGTTTAACATCCAGGCAGTTAGCTCGCTAGCTTCCACCTAAACATGATATAGCATGATCTGACTGAGAGATTTCTGAAAATTAAACGTACAGCTCTGCTATCACTTCCAACATAAATGAAGACAGAAAACTAAACAGCAGTGACGTTTGTAGGGTTACGGACGTTGGGCTAGCTTGTTTAACGAATCAATGGTACGGAAGTGGAGGAAGCAAGAAGAATGAGTAAAGTTTGACTTATCTGACTGTTTTGTTTCGCTTAATGCGCCTTATAATCCGGTGCGCCGTATGGTCCGAAAAATACGGTAATTTAAGCCAAACAAATATCTTCTTAGAACATAAATGTTAATGGCTAACCATATCAGAAGAATTTGGCTGAAACTGGTAATAGTACATAGAACAACTGAGAAAACCCCCAAATACATGATATTAAAACACTCCCAAGTTTGTCATCATGGAGAAATCACTACCCAGTGGACAATTATGATGGAAGATTAAGAAAAGTAAGCAACAGGCCATAAATGGAAAACTTTTAATTGTCAGGACTTAAACGTGATATGTGCTCAGCAGATCAGTACCCTGATGAAAGAAGACGTGTCAGATCTCTGACGTCAAACTCAAGTTTGCAGCTGTGGCTGTTCTGGTCAGCGACTGAGGCCTCCATGAGAATATCTGACGTAGCCATTCTCGGGATACAGAGAAAGTTCCTCTGTACTGCTGAGCCCATTGTTAAGCTCTGGAAATAACAACAACAAACAGGATTCATAAACACTGCAAAGTCACCTTCAGTCAGGCCACAGCATGAACACGCATTGGCAAAGCGTGTTAGCTGGATTTGTACTTAATAGGTGTACTAGGGGTGGCAAACTCCAGGCCTCAAAGGCCGCTGTCCTGCAGGTTTTAGATCTCACCCTGGGTCAACACACCTGAATCAAATGAGTAGTTCATTACCAGGCCTCTGGAGAACTTCAAGACTTGTTGAGGAGGTCATTTAGCCATTTAAATCAGCTGTGTTGGATCAAAGACACATCTAAAACCTGCAGGACACCGGCTCTTGAGGCCTGGAGTTCCTCACCCCTGGTCTAGAATTAAGTTTAGGTCATCACATATCCAAAGACTTTTGGTCAATATGGGCCAAATTAATACCAACAACAGTATCCACAAACAAAAAGTGTTTTTTTTTTAATCCACCAGGTTCAAAGGCTACGATACAAAAACTCTGAAGTTCATTCTTGGGCTTCTATGAAAATTAAACGAACAGCTTACAAAAACATAGCCCACTTAAACCCAGACAAACAGAGTTACAGCTCATTCTTTTGCTGCTGCTCTTGCCTTGCTATTGAAGGTGTGTTTTCGCATTATAAACAAATCTCTACAGGCTATAATAAAAAAAGTGTGTGCCTCCCACAGGAGCTGACTCGATAAGTTGTGATGATGTGCGACTGCTATCTAAGCTTCACCTGAGAATATGAGCTTCTCCTTCATGATGTTGACGTCACGACTGGACCTTCGTGCTACACCGCTCAGCATGATGTGTTCTGGGTTATAGTTTTGCATCCCGCTCATCCTCCACCTGTTACAGCACACACACAGATAGATTCTTACATCGCATGAAAGGCAGCAACTGCAGCTGTTATCAAGACCAGAGATGGGCAGTAACGCGTTACTGTAATCCGATTACTTTTTTCAAGTAACGAGTAAAGTACGGGATTACTATTGTAGAAACGGTAATTAGATTACCGAAAGAGTGAGTGTAAACACAAAAAAAAATATTTTATTTTATGTGCTGGAATGTGCAGAAAATAAGTTAAAAGGTTAAAACTAATAAAACAAGTTTTAAAAAGAGACTTTTCCATTTGATTACATTTTCTATGATGGATTACGCAGAAAAAGTAGAATTGGGCTGAAAGATCTATCGCTTTATTACCTATTCAGGTTGTAAATCGTGTTAGTAACTAAGTAATTAATTACTTTTGAAAATAAGTAATCAGTAAAGTAACGGGATTACTTTTTTGGGGAAGTAATCAGTAATTAGTTACTGATTACTTTTTTCAAGTAACTTGACCAACACTGATCAAGACATCCTTTAATTCAGTAATATTTTTACACATAATATATACACTTAGAATAATTACTGAAGCCCTGCTGAATTTGTAAGTTCGCTCAGTTACAAAGAAATGCACTTGTGTTGGTCTGTGCTCGATCATCCAGGTAAAGAAATCCCACTCTCATCCGAATGTCTTCTTCAGTCAGTCACTCGCACGAGTGATAAGCGTTTCTCTCACTGAAAGCTCCACATCCAGATGAACAGAATCAACTTTTAAAGAAATGAACAGTTTCTAATTTTTATGGCAGGTTTTTTTTAATTGAGAGAGACAGACTATCAAACAACAATCAAGAAAAAAAAAACACATAAAAGTCATAAATTGACCTGCATGTCACTTAAGTATTTTATCCCCAAGCAAAACAACACTTAGTATTTGGCTGAGAAACCCTTGTTGGCAAGCAAAAGCAGTAAGTTTGTTGTAGTTGGAGACTGAAGCCACCCCATGACCGTAATGCGCTTCTTCTTTAGTCACTTGCCTTGGACTTGTTTTTGATGCTGGAAAGACTCATCATCATGACCCATCTTAGTGTTGTGGCTGAGGGAAGGACGTGTGCACACATGTGCACACAGCCAGTCAGTGCGAGCCAAAGCTCCAGATGCGTTGTAGGATGTTTCACTCAGTGATATGTAAATCCATTTATAACTTTCTGTTTTTGATTGCTATTCTCTCTCTCTCCGTTAAAATGAAACTACTACAAAATTAAAGACTGTATTTCTTTGCAAGTGAGCAAATGTACAAATCTAGCAGGGGATCAAATAATTACTTCCCCCAGTGTAAAAGGCAAGGCAGTGCAGTGAAAGATAGGAAGGGGACCGGCTTTGGGGTGTTGGGCGCAAAAAGCACAAGGAGGACAGACAAGGAGGCAGAAACAAAGGCCAAGGCAGACATAGCAGTTACCTGATCATATGATAGCTGACAGATGCCAGAGGGCAGCAGAGGAAGGTTGCATGCAGATCAGGTAGAGCACAGGACAAAGAAAGAATGTCAGAGGAGAAAGAGAGGACAGTAAGACAGGGAGAGGTTGTAGAAAGGAGAAGAAACATGGAAATACCCAGAGGACAAGGAGAAAAAAGAAAGAAAAGAAAGAGTAGAATGAACAGTCAGTGTCGAAGCAGCAGACCAGACAAAGCCACGACTCAACCCGGCTGATGTTAACACGGTGAATGCATTCACAACACCGACAAACATTTAGACACACCGAATCGTTCAGAGGTTTGAATTTTACATTTCAAAACTGCAAAGTAAATGAAGTGATTATTATGAACAACTATACTCCCACACACAACACTGATCTAATGATGTCACATATCCAGTTTACCCAAATGTATGTTTTCTCAGGGCCCTCTACTAATGCCTCTTTAGTTTCATTTCAAACTCTGCACTGCAAATAAAATTGTATTAATCTCCATTTTGGGGGCAGAAAAACCAAAAAAAGCTGTATAATTTTTAACAACCATGAGTCATTTTAGATAGTGACCTTAAAATAAAATAATACTATTATTAAAATAATTCAGTACAGCGGTCCCTCATTTATCGCGGGAGTTACATCCTAAAAATAACCTGCTATAGGTGAAATCCGCGAAGTAGTCAACTTTATTTTTTACAATTATTATAGATGCTTTAAGGCTGGAAAACCTCTCACTACACACTTTATACACTTTTCTCTTTTGTTTAAACTCTCAAAGTTCAAACCTTGTAGAAACATAAGTCCAGTATTATAGAATGAAACCAAAGGCAGGAGCCTCTGACGGTGCAAAACGTTTCATCGGCGTCGTTGTGTTTGATGGGAGAAAACGTACAACATACAGTACAGCACAGAGTCACACTGCTAGCGATTGCAGATGTATGTAAATTTGACAAGCTGACATTCTGTACTGTACAGGAGACACGGCACGAGATTGATTGACAATGGTCTACAGCCAATCAGGATGCAGAACACAATGCGCTGTAAGAAAAAAAAAAACATGGAAAATTGCACAAAAAAAATATCCGTGAAACAGCAAGGCCACGAAAGGTGAACCGCGTTATAGCGAGGGACCGCTGTATTGGGAATTCTGTACTCCTTTCCCACCCAATTGTTTCAATCATTCATTTATAGGACTGACAGAATAGCAGTAATATTTCTTGTCCCATAAATCATCTGCTGTCATCACCCAGACATCTATGTCTTTGTAAAGAACCATTCTTAGGCTGGTATCTCATGTATTATGGAGCATGCATGAGTCACTTGGATGGTATTCATTAAATTATTATTGCGTTATACTGTGTTTAAAGTCCCTGTTCATTACATGTATGTGTTGTACTTACTTCTGAAAAAAGAAAACCCCTATGACTATGGCGACGGACACTAGATCTGAAGTCATCCAGATGAAGTTGTAAGCGCTCTGGCTCTGCAAGACAGGAGAAGAAGAGTAGTTTCTGCTCATTGCCATCAGAGGTCCCCATAAACACTGTCATCAAAGCCCGCTGCTGGGCTCATATTTCTCTGCGCCTTAGCCCTCAAGTCTTGCTGGGCCATCGTCAGTCTCTGTCCGCTCTCCTGCTGTCCTTTCATCTCGATGTGTGACCTTGTTTGCTTGTGCACTGTGTGTGTGTGTGTTGCATCTATTGAAAGAACGGAGAGCTGTTTACCATGAGCCAGATGGGATAAGGCACCTTTCGGAGGACATGGGGGGCATCAGAAGACACAGAAGGCACCCCACTACACCACAGAATAGAGTAGAGCCAGGGCTCATTCACCGGGTAGACAGTCACACTCACATTATTGGCCAGGTACTCCCTGGGGGAAAGAAAAATACAAGTCAGCACTGAAAAGAGAGAAAGGTCCACTTCATTTCACCTCTTTACTCCCTTGTCAACATTCACCTCTTATCATTCTGCAGCCACTGGAAAATATTGTGTGCATCGTGAAGCTGACTTTGTTTCATCTAAAGCTGCAACAGAGGTCCCAGAGGAGGGTAGAGCTTGTGTTCAAGGACCATAACAGTGTAATTCTGCAATTAGAAGTGTGCTGGGCTTACTTGGGTATTGTAGCTCATTGACCAGACTGTCCTGTTTTTATAAAACAAGTTTTTGCTAATTCAAAGAAAACTGTCTTTTTTTTCTTAGGTGCTGTGTAGAATCCATCCTCCAAGTTTAACATTGTAGACCAAATGTAATGCGAAGTAACCAGTGTCTTGGTAGTTGGCAGTTTAACTCTCCTGTTTAATGTGTAGAAGACACAGCACCCAGTAGACTGCAACACTGCTACAGCTGTCAATGAACGGGGCACTAACTCTACCACTTTTTAATGATGACATGAGAGTCTCTGAGGACTGACTCACCTTTGGAGCCAGCTTAACGTTAACCACTAGAGGAAGTTCAGATTTTAGCACTTTTAGGTCATTCTTGGTGTAATTCTTCAGCCCTGGAGCCCTGAGCTTGGTACTGATAAATGTCACTTGAAGCAGCTAACCTGGAGCAGAAATAGTGAGCTTTTTAAATCCAAAACCAGTCAGAAGATATTCCCTTTAGTGTTAACTATATTTAACTGTTTCAGGGATTAGTTCCCCTTTTAAATACACTTTATCAAGCTACAGAACAAGTTAAGCAAACAATTAGGTTTGTAAATTGTTGTTGTTTTTTTATTTTGCTTAAAATAACACAAAACGCCTCCTGTGACATTTCTTTAGGGTTCTTCTGAGCCTTTTTTCCTTTGCTTAGTAGCAGCTGCTTGCTCTTACTGTAGCTCTTTGTGGCTAGCCTTGCTGTAGTGGAGGGTCAGACTTGTAATTCCTCTCTGCCTTATCGCTTCCACTGACAGCTTCTCACTTGTGGTCTGGTGAAGCCCTCGCACCCTCCCCCTGTCTGTGTCGGGGGTCCACGTCACCTGGGACAAACACATATCACATGGAAAGACTCAGATCAGATAAAATGTAGTTTTAATTGCTTTGCGAGAAGGTGCTTATTATAATATCGTAAGCTGTCATACACTGGTATACAGTATTTAAGGAAAACAATTAAAATATTTGTCACACTTGCTAAGGACGAAAGATTTGTCACAACAATTCACAGAATCAATTCCTCATTGGAATATTTATAATATTTAATATTTAGTGTGTTTAAAGGGGGAACACTACTACAGGCAACAGCTAAATTCATTTAAGGATTATTGTGGAGGGACCTACAGTCCTCACCCTCTTCAGGGGAATCCCCGCTTTCTGCACAGCCCGCAGCGTGTCCATGAACCAGCTGCGGTAGCGTGGGTGCTCTGGTGGAGGTTTGTGAATGTTGAGCAGCGCGGAGCTGTTGGCCTTGGCTGCCAGACGAAGCATTTCCACCAGACTGCAAACCGTCTGGTTGCCTATTCTGCTCCGCTCCTTCGCTGTCAGTGATGCTGCTGTCCAGTAGGGGTCACTCTACAAGCAGAGGAAAGAAACAAGAGCGAGGTAGACACTGAGGTGGAGCATATTTGTTTATCTTTCCACATTATATGCAGCTTATTGTAGCAGTTTGAAATCGGCATTAAATTATGTTTGATAAAATGTTCTAGAAAATTTTTAAAGCGTCTGCAGATTTTAGATCTCAATCCCTTAAATTCTAAAAGGAAAATGAGACACACAGTTTTGCTATTTGAGGGCAAAATTTATTTTAGAGCTGATGGACTTGAGGTGGCTTTAGATGAAGTGGATTTTAGTACCTCCAAAAACCACTGGCCTGCATTGAGAGAGCGTATCTCTGTCCAGTTGAAAAAGGAGGCATCTTCATACTGTCTGGCTGGAAACACCTTAGTGACATCTGTGGTCCGCCTCAGAGTGTGGTCTCGCATGAGGAAGGGAACCCCATCGACACTGGAAGAAGTAAAGCACTTTAAAATTTATAGGAAAACTAAACATAACATAGTTTAAATGAAAAAGCAGCAGCGAAATGTGTTAATAATCACCAAACACTGAAGGGCAACAGATCTGAATCACACATTTCTCTCGTAATTTCCCATTAACTGTAATTATTTCTACCACACAACCTGCGTGACACGCTTCAGCTACATGCATTAAATGCAAACAAAAGTGAATGTGTGATTTATAACCTTATGGTGACATCAGCCTCCAAGGAGCTGGCACCATGCTGCAGGGCTCTGTTAAAGGACACCACGGTGTTCTCTGGAGCCAGCTAGAGCAAAGAGATCACAGAAAGACTACTGTCAGTCACTTGATGTCAGTCACTGTCAGTCACAAAACACACACCAAGAGGAAATAATAGAATTATAAGAACATTATGTTCGACTTGTGCAAAAGGCTTCCTTCCCTTCAAATTAAAAAAAACAAAAAAAAACAAAACAAATTTCCCACGTGTGGGACTAATAAAGGTTATCTTATCTTATCTTAAATCTAGTCATCAAACATTCTTTATGAGCCAAGCAGCTCATTATTTTCACAATCCTATGTTTAAATGTTAATATCACAACTTTCTCACATTCTTCTCATATGTAGAGATAATACTTTTTCTTCACAGGATAAAAACCACAAAGTGCTTCACAAGAATATAAAACATAAACATAAAACAGCACAAATCTAATTAAAAGCTAGTCTAAATAAATAAGTCTTAAGATGATGCTTAAAAGAATAAATACAATCCAGGCAACGTAAAGATGGAGGGAGAGAATTCCACAACCTGGGGGCCACTGCTCTAAAAGATCTGTTACCTCTGGTTTTAAAACATGTTCGGGGGATGACCAACAGCCTTTGATTAGATGATCTTAGGCTGCGAGAGGGAGCGTGAGGTTCTAAAACATCAGAAATATAGACAGGAGCGTCACGATTCAAAGCTTTAAAGGTCTGTGTTAAGTGAAAATGAATTCTAAAATGTACTGGAAGCCAGTGTAATGAGCGTAAAACTGATGTAATGTGCTCTCTTTTTTGTGTCTTTATTAAAAGCCTTGCTGTAGCATTCTAGACTGACTGGCAAAGAAAAAGACTGTTACAATAATCTAAACGAGAAGAAATAAAAGCATGAATAATCATTTCTAACTCAGATTTAGACAAAAAAGTTTCCAGTTTGGAGATATTTCTAAGCTGAAAAAGGCAGTTCCTAATTAACTGTTGAGAGTATTGCTCTAGAGACATGGCAGAATCAAAAACAACACCGAGATACCTGAGGCTCATGTGAACAGATGATCCAAGAGAACCAAGATGCTGTTTGATTATAGATATCTGGCTGTCAGGGGCAATAATTAATGTTTCTGACTTCTCAGAGTTCAACTGCAAGTAGTTGTCTCCAAGCCACTGTTTAATGGAAGCTAAACATTTTATTCAAGAAGACAGTTTATGGACTTCCATCGGCTTAAAAGAGCAGTAAAGCTGAATATCAACAGCATAGAAGTGATAAGACACATTAGGGCAGGGGTGGGCAACTCCAGGCCTCGAGGGCTGGTGTCCCTGCAGGTTTTAGATGTGTCCTTGAACCAACACAGCTGATTTAAATGGCTAAATTAGCTCCTGCAGTTCTCCAGAGGCCTGGTAACGAACTAATCATGTGATTCAGGTGTGTTGACCCAAGGTGAGATCTAAAACCTGCAGGACACCGGCCCTCGGGGCCTGGAGTTGCCCACCCCTGCATTAGGGAATTGCCTAATGGTAAGTCCTAGGGGTAACATGTACAGGAGAAAAAGGTCCCAGAACTGAACTGCTGGGTCTGCGCTTCCACAGGCTCCGCTAGTTTTAGAAACTTATTCTCGTGAAGGACAAAAACAAGACAGAACATCTTCAACCGGTCTTTTACTTGCTAGCGATGGAAGACTGGTCGGAACCAGGCTCTTGGGGCTCAACGCTCCTCACCTGTCTTTAAACCAGCTTCTTCAAAGAGCAGCCCTCCTCGTAGCCTTTTATTCCCATGACAGTTACAGTTTGCACAACACAAGCACCTCCCCTCATAAAACCCCCCTATGGTTCTAAAAGATAAGGCAGTATGTGTGTGTATGTGTAAGCACCTGTATGCATGTGCAAGAACGTGTGTGTGTATGTGAGAATGTGTGTGTCATAGGTGTGACCTCCTGCTCACCAAAAGGATCATAACTACAGGAAGCTTACAACACAAGAAACAGATCTTTCATATAGGATGTGCCTAAAATGAAGCCTCTTCAGCCTCCCCCAGCTCCAGAGTAGCTGGAGAGGTGGTCAGAGACAAAGGAATGTCTTTGATCCTGCTGCTCGCACTAAGACTTTACAAATTTAAGAAACACAATGACAACATTCAACAAATTGACTCCAACATGAACCCTGTGGGACCCCCCTCAGGTCCTTAGAGTGCGACATAAACTCATTTGCAAAAACACTAAAAGATTTAAGTATGAAATACAAATAACATAACAAATTATAGCGCTCCATGAGCACAAACCGAATCATAGTTTAATAATAGTTCTAAGGCTTTTTGTAAATTTTTGACCAATAAATCATCAAGTAGACATTGAAGACCTTGGAGGATCTAAGCCAAGTTTGAATGGATTGTTACCATGACCCAACTCAAAGTTTTACCAGTATTCATTCAAAGCTTTTCAAGCTATCATGTTTACAGACAGAATGACACGCACACACACAAACGTGATGGAGATAATAACACTGAGATGTACAGTACAGTATGTGGTGTAGTTGAGCTAAACCTGAATCACACACTAATGTTTTTACTGTATTTTGTTTCTATATAAATGATGACAGGCTCAGACATACACCTTGCAAAACTGATACATTATTTAGTCTGTAAACAGTCCTGTGAATTATGAATTGTTAAGGCTGTTTCAAACAGATGTGTGCAAATGGTATGTCAGCAACATTGCCTTGGTTTTACTATGACACCTACACAACACATCATAGTTTAGTTCCATAAATTACATTACAATTGGAGTAAGGGACAGGCAGAAGAAATATAAGAGTTCTTCATTATCATATCAACGCATGCTGTTCGTTACATACGAGGGTTATGTGCAGCAGCACGATCAATGTGAGCGTCCACTTACAGAGAGAGAGATGCATTTTATATTAGTCTGTGTTGATTTATCTAAAACCTACGTGCAGTTTTGGTACACTGCACTGAGGTGAAAGCAAGGCATATCTGTGAATATCACTGTTTGTAGAGCGCGTGTGCCTCGAGAAGGAAAGCAAACACAGCTCTGAACGTCTCTGTGCATCTCTTATCTACCTGCCCAGCTGTGAAATGACAGTATGTTGCTGACGCACTCTCACACTGAGCCTGACACTATCACTTGTGTTCTGTAGCTATACACCGCATTTGTTGTACAGAGTGTACAGAAAAATTCTTGCATCTTCTTCTTTCTGTTTTTTCCTTTCTTTGTTATTACCCAAACAGCTTTGTGGAACCCAGCAAAAACCGAACACTTGGTACTCCTGGCAGCCACGCCTCTCCACAAAGAGCCGATTTGAACAATTAAGTGGATCAGGTAGTAAAGTCTGGCAAAGCCCCAACTTACCATAGGAGCTCCTCTTCGGCCAATGACGCTTGGTCGCGGTTTGAGGCTATGACGGTCCATGATGCAGGGGCAGGTGAATGTGAGCGGTGCCAAACAGAGAGCAAGGAGGACTACAATGTAGATAAACAACACCATCACCTGGATATCTAAGAGAGTGCAAAAAGGGTTGTTAGTGTCATAATGCAACTTTAGCTCATTCCATCTACTCCTAATAACAAACAGTAGTTAGCTTTGTGTGCTTTGATGGGTGGTAAGAGTGCAGGCAGCTGCTTGAATAAGGAAAAACAATCCACTAAAGCAGGGTAAATTAGACAATGACATACGTGTACAGACAAATAATACTGAATGCAACTTTACGTTTCAAATAGGAACATCAAAAGCAATCCCCAACATGATATTTACTTGAAACACAAGGCAGCACTTACTGGATTTCTCTCTGCGGACAACATATCCAGCTACCAGCCAGCTGATAGCTGTCACTGTTACCAGGGCGCCAAGATGCAGGAAAGGTGCTGTGTACTGATAACAAAGCGTAAATGTGAAATGCTGGCCTTAAAAGATGGTTAGTCATTACACAGCATCAGAGCAAAGCTTTGCCACATTGTTATGATAAATACACACACAGTATAATGATTGAACAGGAGAATATATCAAATGTTACGTTCCATAGAACAAATAACTTTGCATTGTAAGGTGAAGGCCCTACAATAACAGAGAGAAAACACCAACAATCAAATGAACACTTACGAGCAAACACTTGGCAACAGTGGGAAGGAAAAACTCCCTTTTAACAGGAAAGAAACCTCCGACAGAACCAGGCTCAGGGGGACTAACGAAATAACAAATAGTAGGGGAGGAGTTGATATGGATTCTAAACACTTGGACAGGACATCTGTAACACACTTGACATCATATCAATGCCTCAAAGTCACCGATCAGAGAACAATTGAGAAGATGTTTATGAAACCTACATGTTTATATTTTTGTAATGAAAGTTATCTGATCCAGAAAACTGCATAGAATTAATTGAGCATATTTGCATATTTGGCCATATTTGACCCACCTCACCCTAACACCACTTGCCTGTAGACCTTGCAGAGCTTGAAACATGTATCCAGTGCAGAGATTTTTTATTTGGAAATTCTTTTTTTGCAATAATGTTTTTGAAAATGCAGACCTCACCATCCCAGTATAAATTCCAAATAATATATGCTGAAGCAGTTCAACTCAGTTTATTGTTTATTTACAATTGAATTATTTTCATGGAGCATTAAATATATAATTTTAGCCAATTGGATCGGAAAAGTAGAGAATATAATCAACTTTTAGTACAGTGTTGTTAACTGTAGACGAACCTGCAGTGACGCAAGCAGAATGTCCCACTCGTCTCCCCATAAGTCATCGACAAAAATGACACCAGAGATAGTGGTGAGGAGTGTAGCCAGCACCCCCATCTGTGGAGAACAGACACCTCGATGAACCTGACTTTGCTTTGAAAGCATCAGAGGAGCAAATCAATGGCAGGATTGTTTTTTCACACCGTACCTTGTGAACCCAATAGAGATTCAGCTGCTGGCCCAAAGATATGTGGAAAAGTGCTAAGATCTGCAAAAAGAGTAAGATTCGTTAAGTTGTATGTCTTAACTGATCAATGAACAAGTCTGCTAACATTTGCGAGTTTTACCAATAAGAATGTGACGTAGCTGAATCCCACGGTGGTGGAAGCGAGGATGGGCATTGTCTCATCTCTCCATTCTCCAGAACGGTTGTACACCAGCCTGGAATGAACAGAACGAATGTTGGTGGTATGACTAATTCAGTTTTGTCAAATAGAGTAATTTGCCTTAATTGCACATGACATCGTGACACTCATGATGCTCCCTGTCCAGGATGTGTACATCCTCATCCTTGAAAGTGTCCACGTGGACACTCCTCATCACTGAAAGACTGTGGGATTTACTTACCTGCATGCATCAACCTATTTGTCCGTGGTATTTATTTAAAATACACATGCTGAAGGGGCTTGCTGCCACCCCACTGTGGTAAGGTCACCACTCTGCTGTCCTTGATCAACCATTACCAAACATGCAAGTCTTAAACAGCTTTTCAGCGAAAGTAATATAATGAAAAATACGACTCACCAATTGAAGTCATTAAAATCATTTCGAGCCATCAACCAGAAGTAACCCCAAAAGAGAAGCAGAAGAAAGGAGCTGCACAGGATGACGAACCACGTACACTCCCACTGGAAGAGGACACAAACAGCTGATTGTGGACTATGTGGACATAATTTCTCTTCAATTTGTTCTTTTATTCATTGTTTCTGGGAAACATTTGTAACATTGGTTTTGAAAAGTGCTACACAAATAAATCTGAAGAGTTAAAATTGACAGATGTTTTTCTTTCTAACTATCAAAGTCTTGCTTAGACGAAATCATGTTCATCCAGTCGCCATATATGCAACTCCAAAAGATACTTCTTTTTTATTATTATTAATTTTCAATCTTTTGCATTTTTTGCACACCTTTTTGTGAACCTGAATAGATCTTAAACTAACTAATGGCCCATTTGGAAACTGCAGTGGTTAAAGACATAAGTAGACCCAAATATTTCAGGGTTTCCACAGTAGTAGGAAAAACCCCCCTTTAACAGGAAGAACATCTGGCAGAACCAAGCTCAGCATGGGGCAGCCATCTGCTGTGACCGATTGAGGGTGAGGGGAGGGAGACAGGACAAAGACACACCGTGGACGAGAGCCAGAGATTAAATGCAAATGGTTTATGAGCACATAAAGAGTAAAAAGAGGTGAATGAAGAAGACACACTCATCATGGGAAGCCCCCAGCAGACAAGGCATATTGCAGTGTAACTAAGTGAGGGTTCAGGGTCACCTGATCCAGCACTAACTGTAAGCTTTATCAGAAAGGAACGTTTTAAGCCTAATCTTAATCTACATGCTTGCTGGGGCATGTGGGGCAAAAACAGAGAGGAGAGCCTGAGCAGCCAGTCAAGGACTCTTCCCTTCACTAGTTAACAGGCTAAGGAGCTAATTCCATATAAGGGGAGGTGTAGAGTATGATAGGCCAGTCAACAGATCCTATTGAGCACTGATCAGCTTTGCATCACACCGTGCCTGGACTCACCATTTCCAGTGGCTTATGTAAGAGGTTCAGAGATTATTACATGGGCGTGCAGGTAAAGACCAAATGGCCGCACTAATGAATGTGTTGAGCCATCAGTGAAAAGCCTGTGAAAGGTTTTAGCCAGGGGAAGAGAGGCCATCCATCAGTGAAAATCTTCTTGGCCACAAAAACATGACAGCAAGGCGGAAATATCACAACAGCCAGAGGATCTTTTTAGTTTGTGTAGCAGCTACCGGGATCTTAAAGTAGTGAGCATATAATAAAGAACTATGTGACACTGAGCCAACGTCACATTTACCTCGTGCTCCCGTGGAAACGCAGTCCAAGCTATGAGTCATTGTTATGGAGTCAAAATGATCTCTTTACAAAAATACAGCATCCAAAGCAATATCCAGTCCTCACCTCTATAAAAAACAACCATATATTTGCTGGACAAGGGTTCTAGTTCCTTAATCTACCACCCGCTGTTGGTAGGATTAAGGGGTCACTCATGGGGTCAGAAAAGGGTTGTGACCAGCAGCTGAAGTAATCTCCGGCTGAGAAAAGTCCTTGGTAATGAAAATGGTAATAGAGACAAGCGTGGCAAAATTGCCCTAGGTAAGGGCCTAAGCCAAGTGTACCATCAGTGTACAACAGACAACATATAACAGTATTTTATGTAAAGTTAATGGACAAAGTAATGAAGATGATGGAATTTGTTTTATTTATATGTAAACAAAACTGAACTGAACTGAATAAATAAAATAGAGAGACCTTCTTTGTTATATAGCTTCTATTAAACATATTTCTTTTCATCCACTCTTCCAAAGCCTGGTTGTTGTTTTCACTTTGTAACCTTTAACAAGTCATTCTCATTGTGCAGTTTCAATTTACTTTGAAGTCTAGCTGTCCAGCACATGGTGCTTTCTCCTGAGTGATATATGGCTTTCAAAGATCCCTCCAAGTCTCCATTTAGCACTGCTGGTACCCATCCACTGACAGTGCTTATAGGTCCTGATCTTCTTACTCCACTTGACTTCACAACACCACAAACCTCTGTTTTTAAGGTAATTCATATTGGGAAACCTAAATGTACAACAACATACAAACTAGGTGGAGTGAGAGCTATCGCTTATCGATTGAATGGAATCAAAGTATTGATCTGAGTGGGTCAGATCAGCTCCAAACGTATGGAACGCCAGGACTGCCATAATGAATTAATTAAATACACCATTAAATAATTAATTAAATGTGGCAATAATTAATTAAAATTGGAATTAATTAATTAAATAAATAGTTATGACACATGTAATTAATTAATTATTGACACATTTAATTAATTATTTATGTATTTCACATTTTAATTAATTATTGACACATGTAATTAATTAATTATTGACACATTTAATTAATTATTTATGTATTTCACATTTTAATTAATTATTGACACATTTAATTAATTATTGACACATTTAATTAATTATTTAATGATATATTTATTTATTTCATTTTGGCAGTCCTGACGCCTGGCTCTCGTCATGAAATAATTTTATCTGTCAGCCTCACCCATCAAACTCAGGGGGCGGGGTTAACGCTGCCCATGCAGCTTCTCTAACATTTGATTGGTTGCCGTGCAAAGTAAGTCAAAACAGGTCGATCCTAGAAAATCGATTGCTTGTGTAGACTTGGGGCAGCCAGTTATCCCAGAATGCAGATCAAATCACAAGCAGTGGTGGTGGTGTAGTTTTAAAATGCCCCGTTTTTCTGTCACCAGCTACACTTTTAACAGTGTTTTAGCCGCGAATGTCGCGCCGTATGTCTGGTCAGGTTGTCAACATAGAACATGTTTGCAAAAGTGCTCAGATGTTTTCAGGGATTTCACTAGCTCTGCTAACAGTTAGCATGCAGAGCGCACCGAGGGGGTTACGTTAACCGGTTTGTTTACATATTCCACTCTCCGTGTTCCACATGTTGCATTCGCAGATTCTCACCGAACGATCGTCTCTTTCCGCCTGGTCTTGTGTCTCTGTGCTTCTGTAACATAAAGAACGAGCTGACATTTTTCTCACGAAACCAGCGATCAGCTCAGCAGACCCTCAGTTTACCTGCATGCATCCTCCTCCTCATCTGTCAGCTGTTTAACACCTGCTGCTAATTCAAGAAACACGCCTAGTTACCTGGTGATAGTCACAGTTTAACCGGGCAGCCGGTGCTCGATATAAAGCAATGTCAGCGCATTTTTCTGCACAAGATAAGTAAATATAGTGTTTTCCCCGAGCGCAGAGCTGCTGGAGCTTGTTTCCTTACAGAGCACTTTATAGGCGAACAGCTTTATCAGCGGCTGATGCCCAATTACCGGCACACAGCTTTCAAACCTCAGCTGAGTTTTAGCTCTCAGTGGTTAAACGCTGGACTTCATTCACTCAGGTTCTGTCTGTCGGGTCACGTTTACTTCGCTGTTTTATTTACAACTGAGCAAATCGGTTTGGCTGAGGTTAAAGTTACGTTTCATAACTGCATAGTTTCACAGACGTTTAATGGCTCACTGGCACATGTGTTAGACTGAGCTATCATCTAAATATCATCTGTTTTTTAATAGTTATTCAACTGTATTCTAAGCACCAGCTGTCTGTTAGAATGTGATTTTTTTTCTCTCTCTGTTGGCAGAGGTATAAAAATGCGCAGGAAAATCTGACATGCATGGCGAACTTCACCGACGATATTTAGGGAGGAATAAACACACATCAAACATAAATGAACCATTTGTCTGTCTCCATAATTGAGAGAATTTTCTCTTCTTATGTCAACACTCTCTCTCTCTTTTTTTTTCTTTTTTTTGCTTTTTCGGTCATGTTATGTTTACCTGTCAAAGGCTTGTTACAAACTATGAAACACATTGTGCAGACTTCTGGATGTTAGAAGAAAACTAATACTGCTCATGAATGAGACTAAAGGCAGGAAGGTGTCCTTTAAAACTAAACATGTTAATAGGACCTCCCTGTTTATATCATAGTTTATGATATAGCACGTGTATTTCAGTAATAGCCTGCTGAGGCCACTATACGTGCTGGCCTCATATCAAATGTGAAGGCAGACTGAGTCTATGTTTGACGTTTTTTATATCTAATCTTCCTTTTCAAACATTTAAACAGCAGCGAGTCTGCAGCTGAGGGAATACAAATTCAAATTGTCGGAACAGGTTTGCTCGTTTCTTGGATTCATTTGGTGATTTATTAAATGTATAACTGTTATTCTAATCTGCTGCTGAGTCTCTTACACTTTTCTTTATGCTGTATATTTTCACGTCTCTGGAATAGTTGGCAGTTAGATAGTCAGCTGGGAAACTTTGTGTTAACTCATGGAGCTGAGGATATCGTGGATATGCTGACCTCGCTGCGTGGTGTACAGAGCGAGGTCAGCATGATTAATATTCACAATAAAAATATTAGCCGAACATCATGAAGTCTGTATGTGTTTCATAGTGTCGAACAACCTTTGTACAGTTAAAGCCAGCAGTTACTACATGACGGAAACACCAACGTTATCTCTTTTATGTGTTTATACACAGGTCACGCTGATTACTGAACAAAAACCCAAAGATCAGATGTTAAACAGATTTATTTGCTCTCTCTCCTCCTTAAACATGTTTTTAATGTTAGTTATAATTCAGAATTGGCGACTGAAACACGTAGGACACATAAGAACATCAGGAAATAAAACATCGATAAATATAACCTCAGTAAAAGAAGTCAGCGGGGGTTACTACAGCTGTGTACCGGGGCCTGCGCTTTGTCGGTGGGATTGCTTGCGAGGCGAGCGGGTCTATCCCACGCTTTGCCGTGAGACTGGGCAGACATCTCCGAAATCATCGAAACACTTTTGCAAAGAGGCTGTATCTTGACAAACCGACCAGACACATGAAGATTAAACCACTACATTCTCGGCTAAAAAAATATTAAAACGGTATTTGGTGACACACAAACAGGGTTTTTCAAAGCTCAGTTCTGTTAGCTTCCACATGCCAGTTGTTGTGTGCTAGAAACAATGGCCACCAGGCCAAAGCAATGGTTTTGACTCGATCAGCGTTAACCCCGCCCCCTGAGTTTGATGGGTGAGGCTGACAG